AGCCGCAGCGGCTGTAGTCGCTACCAGCTCGGAAAATAAAGGCCACACCTGCAGGAACGTGCACAGAGCAGCAACAAGTAACTCTTGCTGCAAAATCAATTCCCCCCGCCAAATCTGTGATATCTTTATATGTCGCCCTGGAGCTGGGCTCTGAAGTACTATAAATCTAATATTCGAGACATGCAGCGGTGGAATACAAAGACCGAGCCTGAATCCGAAAGCTTGGCGCAGCAGAGGCGTGTGATGGCATCTCCCCTTCACACGTCTTTTGCAATAAAATCCAAGCGCAAAAAATGTGCGGAATACAATTCAATTTCGATAAACCCAGAACAAAAATTAACATTACCAAGTGAGTGAGCATGTGCTCAGGTGTATGCTGAATATGAAACCTGGCGTTTCCATTAGGGACAGCAGCAGCATGATCCAATTATAGATGCAAAGAAGAAATACCGCTCTTAGGGGGAAAATAGTAAACGTATTAATCCATTAAGCAGCTGCATCATTGCAATTATACTTTGAAGTTAAAGACCGTGAAACACACCAAAGATTAAAAGAAGTGATAAGACTGAAAACCAAAAGGGGAAAAAAAAAAATCAAATAGGCCTACACATCCCTATTCCTAGCAAAAAATAAAAAAAGGAGGCACAAAAAGTTACATAGTAGGTTCTGTATACACATACAATTATAAAATCAATTTATGGCCATACCAAGGCAAATTTACTTGGAGAAAAATGATGATCATCTCTCTATTCCCAACTTCAGCATTCACGTAGCAGACAAACCATACATCACTTGCAGAGATGCAAGCAGAAGATGCTAGCAGATCAGAAAGAGTATGAACCAGACCTCTGAATAGAAGAGCTTCCACTGGATTTCTTGATAATGATTTTATAGGTGTATCTATTCCTTTATTTTCATCTCTCTCAGCTAATCTCTTTTTAAGTACTTTGTCCTCATCTCTTCCAAATCCACAGCACCGAGGAGCAGTTTTGATCATCTATTGCTTTTTAACGACGAGGAGAATAAAGATGCCCAAGTTCTACAGCTCTCTTCATCTGTAATGTTACTTGGGTGTATGTTGTTTCATGGACAAAATCATGTTAACACGTCTAAGTCACATTTTCATATAAAAGAGTTAATATGAGTGTCTTATTGAATTGCAAAGTACTCACGTCCACCTTAGAGTCTCAGCTCCCTGCTAATAACCCAGGATCCACATCCACGCTAAAGCGTCTAGATTACTCTTCCATCAGCTGTAATTATAATTGAAATAAATGTGTGTATGTGTGTGTGAGAGAGAAAGAAAGCGAAGCTGAAGAATTATTTTATCAAGATACTCCAATGAGCTATAACACCTATTGGGAAATTTAAGATGCACCTTACAAAAAATAAGTTCCCCATTTCTAGGCCTAGGTTCTTCCAAAGATTCAGATAGTGGTAAGAAATTCCTGGGAGAAGGGCTACTTCAGTTTAAAAATATTGTGAAGAGGGTGGGGTAGCCTACAGGGAAGGATTACAAGATGATAAAAAGATTAAAAGGATGTGAAAATGTCACCTCTTACAGGCAAACAGCTAAGACGCTAGCTAGGAGACCTCACCGTCCAAACGTTATGCGTTCTACCCAAAGAATCTCTGGCAATTCAGTAGGTGCAAACCTCTTGAAAGCAAGTACTTACTGTGGGTGGGCAGTGAAGAAAGGTAACAAAACTTGCTTGATTGGACTGTTTCAATTGTTAACCAGAAGAGGTACCTCCTAACTTGGTTTCTGTGTGGAAAACAGGGATGCCAACCTGGTAGGTAAATCACCGATCACACAAAAGGAACTCGACAAAAAGCATGTTATACATTTAAGCTATCAGAAAAAAATTCTTTACAGTTTTGCTGCTGAAAAGCCTGCACTTCAGTTCCACCTGAATGGTCAGATTTTCATAGTACCCAGGTCTAAACTGGAACTAGGTTTTTTTGTTCAGTGTAACACAGATCTTCTCAAATTTCTCACTCCTACTCGCTCTTCTCTAAACCCATATTAAACCTGGATTTTTATGTAAATCACTACTGCCCAGTTATAAGTCTCAGTGCGAGAACTGCCCCCAGAGACTTCTGAAGTCAAACTGCACTCTCACTTGAAAATGAAGTTACACATACAAAGACAACTAAAAATCATCAGCACTTTTCTAACATAGCCGATGCAATACTTGAACGCCTGTTTCAACCTGGCTTGTCTGCAAGCAGCGGTCACCTTGGCATGAAGGGGAAAAAGACAAGTCAAAGCGGTAGGTGTAAGATTTCACTGAACACTTACAATTATCATATTTATTTCACTGTTGAATTCTTCAGTTGCTGAAAGGTTGTCATGCAGCACTATCTCACCATATGGCAACAACCTCAAGTCCTAGAGGCACATACTTAAAAGACCATAACATGTCAGGCCCCTTGAATAAATTAGATAGAACAATTATGCAAAATAATAATACTGCAATGATGAGATACATTAACAAATGAGAGTGTCACTGTTCATGAAATGCTGCGAAAATAAATTCCGCACATCACTGTGGTCATCATTATCATCAAACTGCAAAGCAACAAAAGTAAAACAACATCAGTCTTTACTGTGCCCTTCAGCAACCGAAATTTTAAGGAAGGAAAAGGGGGTTGCAAGGGAGGAAAGTCACTTTTACTGATGTTCAGTGAAAGTATAATAAAATATCAGAGAAACAGACAGACAAGTGGTAGTAGCTTTAAACACCGCAGAACATTTACCCACGCACACTCTGCATACAGACCATCAATGTTAATGAGAGCTCATGGTCACTACACCTCATCTGTAAATAACAATGAACCATCATTGTAAAAAACGTACCTCATACAATCTCAGGTAGACCAAGCTACATTTTTATGATCTTTCAGAAGTTTTTTTTACAGATTTAGTTGTCCTTGATGATCAGAAGGCATTAGACAGAAAGGGGGAGAGGGGAGGAAACCAATACCATCTGGTTTTCCCAGTCATCTCTCTAAAGGCAAAGTCCCAATTCATCCTTCTTCGCTTTTAACCCTCTAGCCCCTTAAGTTTCTCCATGCAGGGGAGGGAAAATCGAAGTGGTCAAGTTAGCATATGGCAACGACCAAATGCCTTTTAGATAGTGTAAATTTTACTAATCCACTTCTAAACATTTCATCTTTCTGTTATCTGAACTTTTTTTTTTTTTTTTAAACATTTCAGCAGCAAGTAACGCTTCTGTTCTACACCAGAGAAAATGAAACTGGCACAAGAGGCTAGGGGATACTGCAGCAGTAGCATGTAGCCACCTTGAGAAATCCCAACACTTGGAAACAGCAGCTGTTTGGGATTAAGGAAAAAAAAAAAAAGACACTTTGTAGCATCATCCCTACAAAACCTGACTGAAAAGAGGACAGTATTGTTTTCAGCAATATTTTTAGCTCTGGTTCCATTTCAGCATTCTTAGCTGTAATGTAAGCTGCTATTTCCACAGATGAAGGCTTGCACGCACACTTAACAAAACTTAAATCATTCTCATTTGTAATAACATATTAAAAAAAAAAAACACCCCAAAATCTTTAAGATGAATGTGAAACTTCCCAAACCCTGACCAAATGCACTGATGATTCCCACTCATGCTCCCCTTCAGAAACAGAAAATGGTTCATTATAGTAGAATTTAGGAGAAGTGTAGGCATTTTTGTAACTCTCATCATCACTTGCTCCCAGCCATAAGCGGGGGGGGAAAAAGCAAACTCACTTATATACATCCTACTAGGTAACAAATGTTTGAATAAATTGGGAATTAAGTGTGCAAGTACCTACAGTAAAAACCTGAAGCCCTCAAGTAGTCAAATACGAAAAGTTTGGGGTATGAAGTTTCTAATGAATGTTTGCACTAAAACCCACTCCACAATTCTTGAACAGATCTCAAGATTTCAGGGGATCTTCATCCTTAAGTACGCAAGGCCTGCTTCCAAATAGCAAGGAACAAGAGTAACTAGCAGGAAAAATGGTAGAAGCTGAAAATTAAGCCCCCCAGGAAACAATGAGAACTTTTTCAAACCAAACAAGAATATTTTCATTTTTAACAATGTAAGACATTCCTAAAAGTAACACTGTGTGCTTGTAAACCCTCTAAAGAAATGATGTATATACAGAAAACACCTATTAGAGAGCCTAGAATTGTCCAAGTTGGGCTTACTCACGCAATTTTCTTCTGTCCTTTTATGTTAGGATATTTTAATTACCTCATCTCATTATCTACCTACGTTTTTCCTACGGCCCTGTAACATTCAAAATGCTCAAACAGCTATCCAAGGTATCTTTGTATCTACCTTACTGGGTTGGGAGGCTCCTAAAGCGGCACACAAGTTAAGACAAAACAACACAGAGCTGAGAAGTTGTTTGCTGAACACTCTTGTAGAAACCAACACAGAAGTTTATCAATTGAAATATCAAAATATTTTTGTATTTTAAATGAAACATTAACTGAATTGTGCAGAAGGTAATTATCCAATTCAGATGTATCCTTCGGGCATTATGTTAGTACTGTTAAATTTGTTAAAAATAAAAATGGAGGTACCACATTCTACAGTGAAATGACCTGTCCAACTGTCTGATTCAACAATAGTGTCTTTGGTTTTAAAACAAACTTCAAAACATTGAGGGTGAATTTGACAGACTAGCTCATTATTATTTTAAGCTGAGGGCGGGGGTGTTTGTTTTTTTGTTTTGCTTTTTTTTATTGTTTGTTTGGTTGTTTTGGTTTTTTTTAGGATCTTGAAACTTGCATTTGCATTTGTGTGGAAACACCATATGAAGTGAGACATATGCAAAATCTTGAAAAACGCTGGCTTTGTTACCTAGAGTTTGAAAGAAAATGCTTCTAGAATCAAAATAAAAGTCCATATACCACAAAATGAAGTAGCAAGTGAACTAAGCTTTTAAAATCTTCATTTTCTTTACTGCAGAAGAACTAAAAAAAGTTTCACAGCCAAATTAAGACTACAGTTTTAAAATAATTTATTCAGTCACATAAATACTTTGTAACATTTGCATGTTCCCTTTTTCATATCCTTGGCACACAATATAGCTCTTAACTTTTACAAAACTAGTGTAAACATCCATGGAAAATAAAATGAAAAGAAAGCGGGACATACGTAAAAATTCAATAAATAGCAAAAGGAGTGAATAATTGAAGGAAAATAAGTAATTCTTTCCTACAAAGACCATGTAATTACACTTGAATTGAAAGAACTTTTCATTTTGAAAAAATAGTGAATTAAAACTCAATTTCCATCTTTCTACCATTGTTGCATTTAATCAGATACATGATACAATTCTTTAACTAGTTCAAATTCTTGAACGAACAATAGCAATTCAATGCAATTGTATTATTTGAGGCATCAACAGTTTTGGTTCACATACAGAGGTTACAAACCAGTATTTGCAAGCTAGTGGTTTTGGACAGTATAACTTCTAAACTCCCAAACACCCTTCCAACATGACATTAAGATTTTCCTTAATGAGCATTAGTGTATAATCTGTTCTTGATAAAGATGACATTGGACAGATGTTGTCGGACACCTGGATAATGTTGAATGTGGTTGAACCAGCGAGACACATTAAGGTATTTCTCCTTTTCTTGCACTGTGAGGTCTACCTGCATGGGGAAGAAATACAAGGCACTGCATCATTAGTGTCATAACATGTGGTAAGGTAAAATAAAAGCGGATAGTTTCACAGCCGATTTCAACTCGCATGAAAAGTTGTTACAGTCCAGCAGTATTCTATCTTAATTTCACATATTAAAATTCACAGCCCAAAATATGTATTTACTTTTCATTTACTCAAATGAGCAGACCTGGAGGGTGGAATATACATTTGTATGATAGAGAGGGGGAAAGAGGGCGTTAGCTTGCTCGAATTTAACGCATCTATCTATCCATCCATCCATCCATGGGGTTAGCATACAGTATTGGGAGGGGTGGGGAAGAGTTCCACAACATGCACAAGTCTTTCACATTAATCTAGCAGGCAGTCTTGCCTCACAGGCAAAGTGACTACTTCATATTTCAAGGTGTATTATGAGTACAGGAATAAGGTCATTTTCCAGGCAATTTCAGGCTGGATAGAAAAATTTAAAGTTGTTTTCCATTTTGAGCAACAGTCATACAATAGTTACTAAGAAACAGCATAGCTTAACACTTAACTGTTCAGGCGTGCTAGGTCCCACTATTAAGATAGTGATGGCATGATTCGGATTACTACAGTAAAACAAACTGGAAACCTGTCCATACTTCATAAACATATTTAAAGTACTATCACTTACTCCTACAGTTTGAGGTCCTGTTGTTCACCAGACTTCTCAAGTCAACAGCACTGTCACTTGGTTATTTTAACCTAGATCTAAACAGCTGCGAGATCAGTCAGGAAGAAGCCTCCAACTATCATATAGCTATCGCAACAGCTCCTTGCCGTAGGAATGGTGGCTAAGATGAACAAAGAGCTTCAAGCCTACCTTTACTTTTATCAGAGGACTGGCTCAGATAAAGTCATCCACAACCACAGATCTTAACTATACTTCTCAAAGTCTTCTAAGTTCAAGCCAGCAACATCCTCAAAGCTTCATAGTGAAGTCTTTTATTACTTTAGAGTCTTTCAAGCCAGCTGTAGAAGAACTATTCCCATCCTGTATCACCTATATTACTGTTCCTTGACTAGCAGTTCTAGGTCTCCTAATTCCTCTGTAATGAAGTTAGCTTATCAGTTCAGACAATAATCTGTTTCCTCACATTAACCTACTACCACTGAACTACAAATGGGGTAGTCCTCAAAAAAGACTACAGAAACTGCATCAGGAACAAAATGTGATCTTCTCATCAACTACCCTACCTTATCTCACCAATACTTAAATCAATCAGTGCCGGATTCACCTCACTTCATTTTCAGTTAGCTAAGTTAGCCATCAAGCTTAACTTAGTCATCTTGACAACACCTGCAGTCAATGAAAAAGGGCACACCTGTAGAGGACAGTTTTAACAGACAAATCACTAGCTAGACATGCTAATATTTTGCATGTTTAGACTTTTAAAGCTAATCAAGGTTAATCCCCTCCTCAAAAGCTAAACAGATAGCATATTCCTTATGCCTTGTTCTACAAACACCACATTTCATGGATAATGCAGGTTCATTGCAAATTTGATCTTGGGCACAGGACAGCTGGAAAGAAGTACGTTCCAACAAACTTTAAATCACAGGAAGAGCTACACATACTCATTTACTCAGCTCTAAGAGCGAAAAGCTGGTGTTCAAAACTAAGTCCCATTAAATTTCACCTCATGACACACCAGCCCTTTTGATTTCAAGAGTTGCCTATAACTGCTGTAACTGCTTCTCCTTACTGTTCTCTCACGCAGCCCAGCACTTGGCTTAGAATTGGAAAGTTTTAAACATGTAGAGGCAAAAAGAAAATAAGGATAGATACTAGAGATGAACCACTGGAAAAATACCGAGGAAGAAGAATTTCAAGGAGTTGCAGGAAGGAATTCTAAACCAATGCCACATAGCATTAAAGCTCTATCACAGTAAGTTAAGAGCGTAGTAACTGCAGCAACAGCCGAAAAGCAGGGATCTTGCAGCCGCTCCTAAACCCGAGTAGTTCTTCTTCCTACAGGACTCACCTGCCAGAATACAAGCATAGAACTGCACGTGTATTTCCACAACAACTTCTGCAATTTTGAACTGTTATGAACCCCAGCTCAGGCAGTATGAGAAAATCTGCTTTCCTTGCTGCTGGCATGGAATTGCAAACACTATTCCTACAGCTGTATAGCCTGATAGAAGTGCACAGACAAACCAATTAAAACACAGCCATGTATTTTTGCTGAGCTAGAAACACAACAGTTAATCAGCATTAGCCAAGTGGAAGAGAGTAACACTGATAAGGGGAAAAACTCCAGAATTTTTAAAGGCATTACGAACAAAAAGTGGAAGTTATTAAAATTTAACACTGAGTGCTTCACAAATTGCCTGAGCTTCTGCAAGTACAGTATATTCAGGGCAAAAAAAACCATGCAGTACCATTTAGGGGAAGATGCTTTTGATCACCTGTGATTTGTTATAGTTAATGGTAGTTAGAAGCTGGTGCTTGGTATGAAGCTGTAGAACCATTTACAAAGCAACACAGAGCATGAAAAGAGCAACATGTGTACTCTTAAGTCCATCTAAAATTACTGAAAGTGAAGAAAAGTATTTAAGTATGAGCAGATACTAGAAATACTGTCACTAAGTTCTGTGAATGTTGTACACTTAGAGTTATAATTACAATACCCTTTTTCAAAGTCTTTAATTGGTAAGCACTTGGTTATGAAAATGCTGAACTAAATTTCACATTTTGCAGCAGACACAGTATTTCCTCCCCATAATTTTATACTGGTAATTCTCAATCTTCACATTTCTCTGATAAATCAAAAATAATGTCTGGAAAACTAGTCATCCTCCATTCCGTTAGCGTAGTGAAAAAACACATCTGAAGGGCAAAACAGACAGCTACTCTAATAACAAAACCCCTTTTTGTACTCTAGGCACAACAAGCAAGATATTTTTACTTATTTACATAATGTACTCTATCAGTGAAATATATTAAAAAGCACTTTGTGGCATGCTCTACTTTTTACTCGGAACATAACTCTTAGGTTAATTGTTTAGAGATCACTTCCATGGCATTTTTTACAACATTTTGTTAGATGGGTATTTTCTGTTCTTCCTCATTAAATTAGATAATTCCCCCAAGTTAAGAAAGGCTGCTGTTCTGCTGTTAAAATAATTATTTGCTATTAAAGCAATTATTTTAATAGCAAAGAAGCAGACACTCAATTTGACAGGCTTTTTTTTTTTTTATGTCATGAAAAAAAAAAACCTGAGTCTTATTCTTCCACCACAAAGCTCACAGGGTAACCAAGGTGGTCATCATACAATGCAACTAGAAGAGTTTTTAGAAGGGCTATAAATACACAAGCTTTAATTATATTTGCTTTCAGTAGCATTGGGGGTGCAGGCATAAATTCCCATTCCCACACCCTGCATGTGCATGGAAAGTCTAAAAATACCTGCCTACATCTGCAGTTCTTCAGCATCAGGAAAAGGATAAGATACTATCTCACTTTTTAAATTTAGCCTTTAGATATGAGGGAAAGAAAACACAAAACCAGTTGAATGGTGTATTTCACGAAATACATGTACTTTCACCTAGTTTTGACTAATTTTCTGCTGTTAAAGGAACATGCTTAAAATTAAATCTTTTCTTTAAAGTACAACTGTTTTTTGTAATTCAGTTTAAGTACCATTTCTAGCATCATTCTTCAGAAGGAAAGCCTGTTATCCCAGTACTAAGATAAGCAGCATTATCGGTGAATATTAACAAAAATGCATGGTAATCTGTTTATTACAGGAAATGTTCATTATGGAAAAAAATAACTGGAAAACACTATTGCAGTCTCACAATAGTTCAGTATTAGTAGTTCTGACCCGAGGAGAACAACTTTCTTTGTTTTGTACTTGATTTGACCCCAAAATTTTGACTGAGGCTTCTTCCATTTGCAGATATAAATTTCACCCATAAGTTATTTTCTAGACCTTATTAAAGAAATTTTTGAGTCAGACATATAGATTTGAGACTACTACTTTGGTTCTGACAAAATTTTTGAAGTATAAAAACAGATCAACCTTTGTCTTGATTATTTCTCTTAAACAGAACTGGACTTGTGCTGTTTGAAAATACTTATGGATAAAAACATAGGGAAACTTTTATTTTAAATTAAAAAAATATGAAAACAAGTTCGTTACCACAGGGGAAATTTAATGCTTACTGATTGCCTGAGCTATCCTCAAGCAATGCTTCCAAATTCATGTTTTCTCTGCAATCTACGCTTTAACCTAGTAGAACTTCATTCTTCATCGTATTTATCCACATATGTATTTAAGTTATCAAAGTGTCTAAAGACAACAATATTTATATTAGATACATGGAGACATGGAATTACATATGACAATGTAAATCGCATTGATTGAAAAACTCATTTAGACAGTTAGTATCAAGCATTACACTTTTTGGGTGTTTTGTGACCTATATTATGATGCAGAACAACAATGTATACAATTTAGTTCCTGCCTTATTATTACAAGTGTGTATTTCTAATGAATAGACTCAAAATGTACTCAGTCTGCAAGAAGCCTGAAACACTACCTGTGAATCTGACTCTCATTAAAATACTAATTCCTTTCCCACAATATGGATTTTTAAACACATAGTACTATTGTGCTTATTAAGATAACTAGAAGGGAGAGGAAGGATGAAAGAAAGGCATACAACTGCAAAATTAAGAGTTGCTGCTGTTCAGTAGACAAACTGATTAGTAAGTGCAAATGGACGAGCCTGGACTGTGAAGAACCAGGTTCTAGAACCCCCTCTGGATAATGGGAAGGGCAAAATGAAGGTGGGAGGAGGGGAGGAATATGAAGATGTATGATCTATATTCAGAAACACTAAAAAAGGAAGACGAAACCACAGGTGAAGTGAGCAACAGGATTGGGTGGTCTTAAAAACCTTTCAAATGAAATGTGCGTCAGAAGGTTTTGAAAAAGTTTTAATAATACTCGACTCATTCAGGACAATCATGGTATGTCACTAATATTTACAGTATTCTATTACTAATATCTGTGTTAGCATGTAGATGTTAGTTTATCAAAAGCAGAGAGATTAATCCTAAAGGTCATTATCAGTAACACTTTCAGATCAATTTTCTAGACAGCTTGATGGACAGCAAGAACTGTGGGTCTCCCCCCCATGCCTCCCATTTCTACCTCCTCTCTTGAAGGATTATAGGAAACATTTATTAGTATTTTGTACAAGGCTTAGCTGAAACAGTGGTGGATATGACAAACTGCTTCCCTGGACCACATCCCATTAAGAGATACAGCAGCTTCCCTGCCCCTTAAAGCTTAGGGCAGAGAAGCAGCTCTGGACATACTCTCTTCTCATTACAGGAAAAATAAAAATAATAATGAAAAAAAATCACAGGATGCTACAGTTCAAGATCTTACTTCTATAGTTAAGTACTAATATTAATCAATTCTGAAACCTTCAAAATACATGTAATTCCTAGCTAGTAGCTTCTAGATTTTCCTCTTTATTTAGGATAGCCACCCCATTATTTGCCCTTTATACCTTTCCGAGTCAGAAAATTATCTTCCATGAAATCAAAAACATTTCAGAAACAGATGCTGTACTATCAACTTGTCCCAAGTAGTGTCTGGATGGTTGCAGGCACCCAGGAGCACCAAGTCATTTGTTTTTACCATCTGTTCTATTTCCCAAAGCAATAACTTGTATCTTTTCTTCTTGATTAGGTGGTCTACTCTAGAGCAAACTCTAAATTTAAAATATGCTTGATTTTCCCCTGCCTAAGTTTTTTTAGAAAAGTCTCATTTGAACTCGTACTCTGTTACAGCATATACAGTTATATTTTTAGAAAGTACTTATATGTTTTTTCTATGTCTACATATCATATATGAAAGGTAACCCATTCTGACACTCTAGTCAACACATCTATCCTACTAAAGATATTTTACAAGGCAAACATGATTTAACAGCATTAATTCTAAGTGACTTACTCTAACGTGTTTTCAAAAACGTTCTGAAATGAAGCTTCCCTTCCCTCTCCTCTGCTTGACACTCTCTCATTTGAACTTTTACTCCTGGACAGTCAAGATACATATACATAAGTTCTCTCTCATTTTTGGTAGTATTTCATTGCTTGATCTTCCCCCCTGCCTCTGCCTCCCTTTTGAAGTGTAGTATTCTTGCACTCTTCTCCCAGATCTCTGCTTTTAATTGTATAAAGTAACCATTCACCCAGTTGATTGAATTCACCAATTCTCAGACACACGTGCATTTGTCAGAGGCATCTTTTTCTGACTATCCCCTCCCCCCCAGTTTTCTAATCTAAACCTGACAGATTTTACCTTCTCCCAAGAATTTAGCAGACCTTTTTGTGTAAGTCCATTTGTTTGTTTAGTAGTACCCGCCCCAGAGAAGGACGGCTCATTTACAATCACATTCCAGCCACCAAAATACAAATAGCTTCTACTGCTTCATTTTTAAGTTACCACTTGGGGTTCAGAACCGAGGTGCAATGATTTATAAGCACTTCATAGTAAACCCTGAGCTGACTACAAAGAATCTCAATATCTTCTCCACTCAGTACAAACTTTTTGCTTTCTTCCTAAGCACCAGCTCCCCATGTTACTTTCATATTCTGTATGTTATCAAGTCTTATCACTAAGTCTTGAAACACAAATGACATTTTGTTATGGCTCACACTTTTATATGCATTCATCCTTCAGGAACTTAATTTACATGCATCTTTCATAGCACCAGCAGCATTTCTCCAATACTAACAAGGTTAGCACTTTCAGTTCTGACATGTCCTTTGAGTTTTATTTATCTATTTCTCCATGTAAGCAGTCATGTTTCAGACTTGAGCAAATAGAGTCCTCATACACAGAAACACAGGGATAGGTATCATCCTTGTAACATTACATAGAGGAAATGAAAGCATTCTGGACACTACAAACAATACACTTCTTCTGACAGATCCATAGCTAAATATTAAAAAAAAAAGTAAAAAATTAACAACTTAAGAACTTCAAATAAAGCTTTTTTAAGAAATCTCTCCATTTTTGTTCTGTAAACAAAATTTAGTGTAAACAATAAATTGATCAATTCAGTAGGTTAACTTCTACAACAATACACTGCTCTTTAGATAAACAACAATTATGATATTTGTACATATAAAAATAATGCAAATAACACTTACCATGACACGATGCAAGCCATAGTACATCAGAATATCTGCTAAGGTAAAAATGTTTCCTGCAAGGTAGACTTTATCTTCAAGGTGTATGTTAAGATCCTAGAAAAGGAAAAAGTCATTATACTGCTGTAGTATTGACTTTGTAAGACAAAATATTAAGGTAATTGTTAAAAATAACAGAAAACTTCCTCTGGAGACCATGCATATAGAATAAACACCAGCTTTATTTTATCCCAACTCAAAGGAGAAAAACATTAAGAGAAGAAAAAAATTCTAAAAAGTATCAAGATAATAAACTAAAATATCATCATTCTTTGACAGCGAGAATTCAATAAAATTTAAATGTTGGTCTCCAAAGTGCTAGCCAGCTTGCTGCTGGCACAGAATTTTTCATAATTCCCCCACTTACATCCACTCAAATTTTTGTAAGTGCAAGTGTGATTTATTTTATATATTAAGCTGACTCCATAGAAATACTTTCAAATCTGTCTTGGCTTCAAATTACTGGAATTCAAAAATGCAAGAGTTGTGTATTTTTTTTTTTATTAGCGCATATGACTCAGAAGCACCACTGTTATACATTTAACATTTGATAAGCATAAGGAAAATGCAGTCCTATGATCAAACAAGTGCATATTGCTCTTCCAGCAGCAGCTTCTCCTGTCCTCCAGGACTCACTCAATGCAGCTGGTCAGCAAGGTTCTGGAACTGCAAATGTGTAAGAACCAGGGAAACACAAAGGGATAGTGGGGTGGGAGACAAATAATGTGTTTCAATGCCAGAAACTTGATACCCATCAGCTGGTATCATCTGACACCTGCTTTTATTAATGTTGAAGTCACTGCTAGCAATTCTTAACAACTGATACTGTCAATTCTGTTGCTATCTAAGTCCATATGAAGAAAGCACTGCTTCAGCATTTTAAGATCATCTCTCTCTCAACAATTCCATACCAGAGGCTATAAGGGTGGGTAGTAGAAGGCTTCCATTTAGGTTCAGTGGATAAATATTTCAAATCTGTATTACTGAAAGACCCTTTTCCATGGCTTTTTGTATGCAGTCATTCTCTGCCAGAAAACAGGAAGCTGACAGACTCATCGCTGCTCAAGTGTATCACTTCTGAGAGAGAACACCGGCATCACACATCAGCTCTACCTCTTTTCCTGTCCTTCCTTTTCTCCGTACCTTACCTACTTCTCATCCAATTTATACACCTTTCTGCCCCCTACTTCCCTCTAAAGAAAGAAATATAACAGGAAACAAAATTACCTACTTTAACCCTGATCCCAGCATAAGCAAGCTTTAGTTTTATAATATTCTTTTCAGAAATGTAGGAAAACTGTTTCCCAGCTCTTCCTTGGATTTGGAAACTCTCCCTGTTAGCATTCAACTCTGCTGGTTGAAAAGGCTTGTAGTAAATGCAGTCCTTTTTCCTCAGAGACCTCCTTAAGCCACTCCCTCTCCCTGCCCCAGAAACACAGGTAAGCAGCTTAAACGTAACTAACATTTTTCAAAATGTCCCTGAAATAATTTTTCAGTCTCAATTACAGCATTTGAAGACAATCTTATTTTGAAAAAAGTCTAGGGCAAGGAGAAGGGGGTTAATAATTAGTGAACAATTTAAAAATTACATTTAGCCTTAAGTACATCGCAGTTTTTTTGTGGTTCGACAATTTTACTGATATGGAGATATCCTACAGTGCAAACGTAAAAAAACCCAAACCACAAAACTAAAATGCTGAGACTTTAAGACATCTGAACTTGCATTTGAATTTGACAAGTTTGACTCCATTATGCCACCTTGCTATTTCTTTGCTAACCTCTTCATGACAGGACCCCTGTACTTCTGTAATACTTAAACATCCTCATGTCTCCTTTGATTTCTTTTATTAGAGCAAATTGGAGAAAAATATTAACCCCTGCATAGTTAAAATTCTGTAAGGTCATCTGCCCCTGGCTATGTAGCTTCTTTTCTTTAGACTGGTTTACTGCTTTGTTCATGTTAGTTAGCTCTCAAATTACTTTGAACATGTAACTACAGTTCTGTGGAATTTCATACACACAACACAAAGGCAAATGCAATGTTAAAAAGAAAAAGCTTGCAGGAAGAAAAAAAACTAGAGATCTGTTTACTAGAAAAAAATCAAACTCGTCTATTCTGACACAGGTTCTCTGACCAGCATTTTTCATTTTGATTAACCAGAAATTCAACACGTGTTATAATGAGAAGTAACGCCACTGAAATTATATCCCCCTCTTTCCCACCCCCTTTCTGCTTAGTCTAGGCTATGAAATCAGGATTTTGTAAAGTAAAAAGCTCATTATCTCTAAAGGTACAATCAACACAGTTATTTCCCTGCTCAAAATTTTGGATTTCTGCATAAAAGAAGTTATGGCATGCTATTTCTTAGTTTTATACATCTTCAAGAGTTAGGCTAGTTTCTGTGCAGAAATATTGTTTGCCCAGTTGTTCAGGAGGGGTTAATATTGTACAAAGAATAAATTTGTTCTTTGAATATACTGTGCATGTATACTCAAAATATTAATCAATTAAAAAAATCTTAAAACTTTAACAGCAAGGTAAGCCATTACAGTGTGAACAATTATTTATTCTGGTTCATCAAATTTTGTGAAGTCAGTTAACTGAGCAAATGAAATTTGACAAAAATGGTTTAGTCTTGGACAAATTAGCATTAGTTTAGAATTCTGTTTTTGAACATGTACTTTCCTCCCATAAAATAGACAGATATTCCAATTTCATTCTGTAAGACAAGCTAATTCAGAAACACCACAGTACAATTTTTTTCTCATGTGCACTAGGCACACTTAGTTAATCTTGCCTCATGGGTTATGCTTCCCATAGATGATTATATTATTGGCTAACAGCCAACTGTGTTAAAATTCCTGAAAAATCAAGCTTTCTTAAGTGACCACGGTCTTAAACTGAAATAGTGTTCCTGTCCTGAAGAGAGTAATGAAAATACAAATACAAAGCTGTATTTGAATTTCTATTACACCCAGGAAATTCAGGTCTGTTAGCTGTCATTTGTATCATTGTCTTTCATGTACAGAACGTCACTACTTAAATTGATTACATATAGACAATCCCAGTATGAAATGACTGAAATAGTCTTGGAAGTTGCTTATAACTATATGAACTTCTTGTTGCAAACCCTCAGGAAACCCTTTCTCAAGTTTCAGACAGGTATTTAGGCATAACTGCAGTTTGATGCACTAATATGCATTGAACAACTGCAGCAATTCAAATTCCATTTTTGGGTACGAAGGGGGAAAAAGCAACGGAAAGAAGAGATGTTGCATTATTTATGGACTAACTGATGGATTTCCAGTTGCTTGTTCTACGGAAAAAAAAAATCCAATTTACAGCCCATATCTAGAGTGACAGCTTAACACATCCCATCCACGGCACACTTCTGGCTACCCCACAGTATTGCCTACTATCTTTTAAGTATGCAGTCTAATTGTCTGTAATCCAACTCATCCATTAAGGTGACCGAATCCCTTCCAGTCACTGCAAGTTGAGACAGCAGCTCGGATAAGTAACAGTTGCTTCTTACGACAACTTAATAGCTTACAATGGATCTAATCATACTCTGATTTTGTTTTGGGTATTTTGTCCACAACAACACATTGCTGTTGTATGTACTTCCCTTACACACAGAAGCACATCCTTTCAGTCAGCAATATTCTCGAGGTCATTTATACCCTAAATGCCTTTATGTCGCACCATGCAAAGACAAAGAGCTGAGCACTCTCAAATGCCCCAGGAAAGCCTCTGACAATGCAGAACCTAAGAAAAGGATTCTGCAGCCATATGCAAGAAAAGCAGAATTTCACTGTTGGGGTGTAGCCATATTTTTAATTCTAATGCAAGACTTTTCTGTCTAACTGGCAAACTATGAGCTAAACCTGGTCTGGAAGAATATTATGTTCAACATACTGCGTTTCCTGTAAAAGACAGAAGAAAAATAATCAACAAATGTTGCTCAAATAATCAAAATTCAATCTTTTACACCTGTAAGCGCACAAAAATATCCTGGTGCTAACAGAAAAGGGAGAGAAGTGAACAGGGAAAGTCGAAGTTTAAAAAATGCTTGCTGGACAAGCTTGCCGAAGTGGGTAGGCATCCCATTTAGAAGCCTGTCAAAGAACAGTGTACAAGAACTGTGGATTAACAGCATGGACAGAGCATGGATTAACCTGCTTACATATTTGTGGAAACAGGAATTTTTCAAACAGGCACATTACATAAGAATTGAAGCTCTCTTATTCAGATTTCTCATTGGATTTCATGATTACAGCCAGCACAGGAAATTAGGACAAAACTAGCTGAAATCATGGAACATTTTTTGTATGAGACACTGAAAGTAGTACACAAAAATTCTTGGTTATAATTATCCTTCAGAGACTAGAGATTGCTATATTTCTGTGGAAGCTTTTCTGTGAATTCAAGTACAAGCTCCCAGTTATTTACAATATGCCTCTGAAGATGGGGTGGGGGGGAAGAATCCTCAAGTCTTGGATATCTAAAATTGACAAAGCAGAGACATTCAAACCTCCTGGATGGAATTCATTAACATCTAAGTAGACATTTGGTGGCACAAAAGTTTCACAAAGGTTCTCAGTTCCTTCCCAGAAGAGCAGAAAAACTACTAATTATCAAGTACAACAACTCAGTAAGTTTCAGATTTTTTTCCTGTGCAGCTTAATTTACCACTAACCAAACATCAAAGCAGCAAAGGAAAATGCTCTCTTGTCCTGTGGAAAAGAAAGTTAACATAATGCATTGGATATTATCACCGCTACTGACAATCATCATTCCTACATATCTGCTAAAGAACAGTCCAGAGGTATTTCTCCCATTTATTTTGTTCAGTACAGGAGCTCAAATCAAAGTTAGACAAAACTCCAAAAGCACTTCCATTGACCGGTTCTGAACAGTATGGCATTTACTCTGAATGAATATAAAAAAACCTGGTTGAGATGGTCTGACTACTTCATGATTTGTTTTCATGCCAAGCAACAGCTTTAGTCAACACGTCAGTAAGAACAATTTAAGAACATATTTTCCTAAGGCCAACTGAAACCCCTTCCTGCTCAAATTAACAAACATTAAACCAATTATTTATTGATGTTTTTCAGAACCACATCACCTCAGTTAAGGGTTAAATAGAAGCAGCCTGAAGTTTATAGCAGAAGTGACTGAACTGTTTTTGGCACAGCTTATTATAAATTGTGGCTCTAGGCTGCAACTGTCCCAAGACTGCCATCGTGTATTCCAGACACGTTGTAAAACTCACAGTCTCAGACTTGCCTCCCTATTTTAGTTTTTCTTTTTTTTCCACCCGTACTCCCTTTTGGCATAGTATACTTTAATGGTAGGCTGCCTCTTTTGCTGATTAATCATGGTGGCAAGAGAACAAATTAAAAAAAAAAATCTTAATTGCTATACTATGAAATTATTAGTGCTGGAACAATTCCAGAGCAGCCCTGTGTCAAAATAAATTCTGGCCATTCGACATCTGCTAAGGGAAAAAAATCTGTAGGAAAATTTTAAAGCGGTAATATCCATTAGAATATACTTAAGGGCAGAGATTCTCCCTCAAGTGACACTGACTGTTTCTCATAAGGAAATTTTGTTTTGTTTGGAAACACTTGATTTACCTACGTATTTGTATTTCAGTACATTGTCTTTTTCTACTGCCAGTGTTGCTAAAACTGAAAGGAGATACCAGCTTCAGCATGAAACCATTGTATCTGCATCTAGTTTTAATACTCAGACGCAGTTCTGCGAACACCTGCTTTGTCAGCACACACACGTATCGTCACTTAAGCCATCCAGAGCAGATGTATTTTGTTATATCAAGACAGAAAACTTACAAAAAACGGTTTTTATATGATAGAAGGGCAAGAAAGGTAAATAATAGTAGTTTGTTCTCACACGGTCTTCTCACAGTTTGGGAGAGAACAAAAGGCACCACAAGTTTGCTTGAAAAACAACTGAAATTCTTTATATAATATTTGTCATAAAGGTTTTTTAAAAAAAATAAACAAACAGGGACCTCTGAGGGCCACCTAGTCATACCACCTGTTCAAAGTACAGCTAAACTTGAAGTTAAATCCTGATTAGTCAATGCCTCCCTCAATCAAGTTCTGAAAATCCCGAAGGGTAGACAGTTTTCCTGCATTATCTGTAGAGTAACCATGACTGTAAAGGTTTTGATAGTATTTGCACAAAGAAAATAAGACCAGAGATGTTACAAAAAGAGAAGCAATATAAACAAATTCATGCTTAACCAACAGAAGATACTCCATAGATACAATGAGATCAAGATAATTCAGATTATCTGGGGCGCGCGAGAAAAAATGGTTCTTTTAGAGCTTTCACCAAGTTGATCCTTGTAAAGCAGGCATGATATTCCAAGTCCTCAAGATCAAGGAGGCTGTCAGTTTGAAAAGGACAACGGATTATTAACAAGGTTTTGCTCTGCACCATTTTAAGATGCAAGATTTTCCTTGATTTTAAGTAACACAATGTGTTAACTCTTGAACACTGCTGCAGTTTATCTTTGGTTTCTGCAATAGTTCTAGTTGACTCAGACTCGCCACACCTAACAAAAGTCAGAAGCATTAATTAAGACTCTGCTAGCCTCAAGTAAAGTCAACCTTCCTAATACTGTGCAGCTCACAAAGCTATTTCTAAACCCAGACTCACTAGTAGCACTGAGCATTGCGTACTTTCCATCTAAAACATACTTTTAAAATTAGAAAAAATAAACTTTTAAAATTGATTGAATTTCACTGCTGTTTCATATACACTTAGTAAACAGAGCCCCTAGCACTTAACAGCGTAAAGCAAATTTTCTCTTCAACTTCTGTTCCCACAAGACTGCAAAAATACTAATTACCAGTCACAAGGAGTAAGAAGGAAAATAGAGTAAGTTTTGCTATCTACTCCCTGCCATCTGGCTGCTCAAATAACAGGGCGACCCTTGAGATTCTCTTTTCTGCTTCCACCTGTTTAAGAGGAAGTAAGCTTCAGACTACAAGAAAAGTTTAATACAGTAGACCAAAGCCTCCATACAAAGTAGCTCGATGCGAAGGGCAGTTTTGCAGAGGTTCCTTTACGATTTCACTTTTCACACACAATTCTGTCCAGTAACTCCTTTTGGTATCCATACCAATTACCACAACATCAAGTATGGCCTGTATTCCATAATTACCAAATCAAAAAGAATAGCTCTTAAAACAATCAGAGCAGTGTTGTCTTGAAATACAATGCCAACTTGCTTATAACTGAGGTTTTACAAAGACAGTAAGAAACTGGCGTCGTAGATGGCTAATAAGAGACTCGGCAGCTGAACAATCTCTCAGCTATCTGGAACACCCTGGGTAGTTTACAGCATTACAGCCATAAAAAACTGTAAGAGCTCTGCTTCATATGCTTTAGAGTTTAAGCTGTTTTCCCTCCTGTTTCAGGTTGTTTGGGTATTTTTGTCAATAAAAGTGAAAAGCAACAAGCAGAATAAAAGCCAGTACTTAAAGATACTGTCAAGTCTTCAGCATTTGCTCGGTTTTATTAATTGGTTGTTCACACACACATTAGCACTGCAATCTTCTTCAAGGTCTAGTCACTCCAAAAGTCAGCGGCAAGGTAATTAAGTACACCTTACCTTCAGAATTATTCTAGTGTCTTCTTTACTAGAGCCTCCATCTACTCGAGTCACTCTATATTCCAACCACTGCTGAACAACAGCTTTCTCTTCTGCAGTACTTCCAAGCAGTTGGTCTTTCTTAGCCTGTTTAACCAGGTGGGCAGCTATGGTCATTAATCCTGTCAGACCAGGACCATTGTTTGTTTGAAGAACAGGAACCTAGAAGACAAAACAGAAGTGTAACACTAAACAACTGATTCAAAAAACAGCCTCTATAAGAATAGCTATTGTTTTTTTATAGTACTTCAAGAGGATCTTAAAAGCAATATATCAGAATTTAGAAGTATTCATACTAAAGGTAGTAACATCAAAAAAAGTGTATGTTCTCTTTTTACTCTTCGGGGTGGTTTATTTTCAGTTTTTACAGAAGAAATGTATTTAACACATGCACGTGGACAAACCAAGACACCTTTAGCTCCAATTAATCAAATTCTGCCAATATTAGCAAGAAATAGTATTGCTTGTTCTAACACTAGCAGAAATCTTATTAACTAATTTTTAACTCATTTTCAAATTCAGGACTCTAACTTAAGATTGTAAAGTTAGTAGCATCCAGTTTCTCTCTGGGCAGCTCACAGTAGCCAGACTTACTGAAATGCTTATTCATACTCACTGTTCTATTGCCAAATACTCTGACAGAAGTTAGTAGTTCACTGGTAACAGGGGAGGACAAGACACCACACCTCTAGTTTTAACCATGTATTTGTTACTGACTTTACCGCGTGTTGAA